TAGTGTAACACTTTTTATTGAAAAAAGATATACTCAAATAAGTCAGAAAAGTTTCATATTTTTTTTTGTACTTTTATCTATCGTTCATTGACTGTTGTGTGCTCGCTTTGATACATGTATAAAAGATTGTCTGCAATCTAACCAATTATTTATTTTTTTGAAAAAATTCAGAGGCATAAAAAGAAGCTAGAAAGATGGAAATGCTGTTTTTCAGATAGTTAACAATTTAATATTAGCAGCTACCTAATGTCCTCTTTAATCGTGAAATAATATGTGAATTTGCTGTTCACAAATTTTTATTTGAAATTTGAAAAATCTCAATTGTAAATTTTGTTAAAAGAACATACAAAGAATGGTTATAACGCTCTGCCTATTTTTATTGATAATAAATAGCAAAGAAGGTCATCTATTGCGCGTTCCATCCATTAAATGTTAATTAATCGAAATCCACTTTTGTTGATCAAAATAGTCAAATATCATTCAAGTAGTCTTAGAGAGATGGGAGACGATTTATAGTTACACTAGTGGTTCTAATCTAGCAGAAAAATTTAACCATCGTTGATTATGGAAGGAAAGAATCTAAAATAATCACATGTCAATTATGTATAACAGGGATATATACCTGTGTTGAATTAGGTAGTTTTACTCTAGTATTGTTCCTTGTAGTGCTGCTGCACTGTCCTTGTATTTTTGTTAAAATACTTGTTATTCCACTTGAACTTGTCAATGATTCTGTTTGTGCTTATGCATGCTTTTTGACGTAAGATATTCAAGTATTTGAAAGTTGAATATGAAACAGTATGAAAAAAGTGAACAAGCTTGCCTCTTAACTGATAGTAACTAACTTCTCTTCAACCAGCATTAGTTTTTTTTGGGATGGCAATAAGTTTTAAAAATACTGTAGCCGAATTGGTTTTCAATTTCTCAACGCTACTCACTCCTCAAAATAATTTAGTTGAGAAACGATTCATAAATTAACAATTTCTGGCTACGTCACTGATCATTTTGTGACTAATTAAATCCCCAATTTCAATTCTATATGAACTAGAATCTATTTCATTACGACCATCAAATATTTGTGGACGACTAGGTAACATTGTATCAGATTTAACTTATACAAATATAGTTCCATATATCAGGCTTTCATCAAGTAATTATTCTCTTGTTAATGATGTTATTGATTAGAATAGTTGAATTAATATGATCTATCTTGATGGTACAGCTGAAACTATGTAAGATTCATTTCCATTGAGAAAAGTTATTAAAGATAATGAATTAAAACGTTATGAGGATTTATATTTAATGAAAAATTAATGAAATCTTACAGTGAAACCATTAATGGATGTCCAATCATTGATAGTTCGAATTATGAAGATGATTTGAATATGTTAAGTGATCTAGATCATCAGCCAACTAGTTTTTCTTTACAGTAATTCCAATCAACTTATGTAAAAGAATAAACGAAATTCCTTTTTTTATCATTCATAGTTATCACTTAAATGTTTGGACGTGTCAAATGATGATATCATCGATAAATATGATATTAATATAAAGCAATATATCATTTAGAATAATTTACATATTATATACTTGAATGTATAAGTATTTGAACTTGTCAAATAAACAAGCATTAATTTTCTTCTTCTACGCTTATGTAATCATTCAATATAAGTTGTAAAGTAGATCAAAATAGAATATACTTCAAAACAAAAGAAGAAATATCCATCATCACTTCGTAAGATCAATCTTACTACAGTTACTTTCATACTTTTTAAATCAAACATAATCGTTGGCTGAAATAAATTAGCAATTGTGAAATCTTTTTAACTATTTAAATTCTATGTTTCAACTTATTTATGAAAATTTTCTTTGTTGTAATACGGGTTGCACCAGTGATCGAACTGAAAAAGTTTTATCATCAGATGTATTTTATCAGCTGTATGCTAAGCGAAAAGTAAATCATCATTAATAGAAAGTCATCTTTTTTAAAAGGATTCATAAAATTATGATTGAATATTTTGGCATGTTTTTGATAGGTTATATTTTTTCGACTAGTAACATGATTTGGATGCCAGATATGAAATGGATGTAGAACACAAACATCATATTCACATTCATGTTACTTTATGATTTGTGCATGATAGTGTTCATTCTACCTGTCGTACGAGTGCTAAAGACAAAAAAAACGAACGAAAGAAAGAAAGAAAGCCACCACGTACACACATACAATGCATTCACCACTATATACTCCCATTACGTCTTTTTTATTGTAGACAGTTGAATAATGATTGTTATCCTATTTATTTTTTTCGTCGTCTTATGGGTGATATACGTAAAACTTCAATATTTTACACTTCGTGGTCCAGTACCAGGTTTGTCGCCACATTTCTTTGTTGGGAATATGTTTCAATCAGGTTTATTGTTTGGTAAAAAACCATTGTCTGAAGTCTACATATCATTCAAGAAACATTTCGGTGATATTCATCAATTTTGGATGGGTTTTACTCGTTACATTGTCGTACATAATATTGATGACGTTCAATACATTTTTACTCATCGAAATATATATGATCAAGGGGAGATATTTTTAGAAAAATTCAGTATTTTTTTCCCCGATAGTATCATTTGTAATACAGGTATGACTTTTTTTTCTAGTTTTGATAAAGGGCTACTTCTCATTTGCGATCATAAGTCAAATAAAATTTTAAAATTCTATGAAGGTTTTAAAATTCAGTAAACAATAAAATTTAAATTAATTTAATTTTCAAGTTTTTGTTGATGAATACTTCTATTTGAAAATTTTCAACGTTCAACTTGAGATCGCATCGAATTTAGCAAGATATCAGAGTTCGCTCGTGTTTTCAATACAATCTCTATGTATAGATTTAGGAAGATGTAGAGTTCGCCACTGTTTTCAATACAATTTCTATCTATA